TTGAAATACGCCACTTTAAAAATACAGGTTCAAATTTCCCATTAATTTCCGAAGAGCCTAAATATTAAGACGACGAAAAGTTAAAATGATCCGTACCCATGGATCGAAATTCTTAAACGTTCATTGTTGAGAGATTAAAGGCGTGGCAGTCAGGTCAACAATTACAGAGACTATTCTCCACCACGTTGAGAATACTCCATATTTCTTCATAGTATTGTATATTTTCCATGTTAGATGTACATTGACCCATGTTTCAGATTAGTCTGTTTTTCTTGCTGCCCTAAATCCATAACAACCTATATCGTTAGGGAAAGCAAAATGGCACACCATGATGACTTAGGTGACCGTTGCCCTCATCCCATGCGAAACGGACGTGACTCTACCCACCTACACATAGATCCAATTATCTCCATCTCCATTTTGCTACTTCTTTTCACAAGTAGATTGTAATTGTTGAGCTTTTCATTCAAACGTGCAGCATTTCTATGGTGATTTCTTACTTCCTCGCAACACGGCATGAATCTATTGTGGAAGCTTCCTCGTTATTCCAAGTTTACTACACCAATGTCGCTCATTTCTATTGACAACGCAACTGTATGTATTGTGCATACACTTGCTTATCTCGTTGCGTTTATTGTTGATATTTTAATACTGTCTATATAAAATTTTGAGGGGGCGGATAGCGCTGTGGTAGTGGTATCCGTCATCATAAGCATGGCGATAGTTCGATTCCACTTCGGGTCAAGCAAGCCTCTCATCCCTCCGGGGTCGGAAAATTGGTACCGGACTTGTCTGGGAAAAAATCACTCTTTGCAATCCGATTGGGAACGCTCCAACCCAGCTCCCTCAAGACTCCAGGAAGAATTGTTCGACCGGCATTCTACCACATTCAAGACGAAATGGAAATCCTGAAGCAGCAACTGAAACACGTAAAAGTTGGAAAAAAAATCTTCCTGGACAATGGATGCGAGGAAACAAATTGAATGTGATAAGTGATGGAATCCGCACAGTAGGTGTGAAGATGGATAAAACGAAATAAAAAAGGCAAAAAAAATGGAAATTTGGTAACCAAGGTTTTAGAATGCGAAACGTAGAAGAAATATAGAGAATATCTCCTAATTTGCCTACCATAAGTGATGAAAGAATGATTGGAAGACATTTGGAAGCGAACCGGAAGTGAAGTAGAGTGCGTACAAAGATTATTACTCCCACGACCGACTTTCTATTAATCTCGGCATTGATCAAGTAATTCTTCGTATTTTTCTTGAGCAAACGCGAGGTGTTATTATTCTTTATTCACAAATGAGCTGACGTTTCGGCGGATTTCGCCTTCCTCAGAGCCTGGAAAGGTCAAGTTGACAGCAATCTACTTGGCCAGACGCCTCCATAACCAAACAAAGAAACTCTAAACCAAGATTTCAATCACATTGAACACAGCTTTGCACACTCACCGCTTTCTATGTCTCCACTAAGTATGTCACGTAGAGACCAACCGCACAGAAATCACATGGAAGCATAATGTGCCCCTCCCATCAGAATAACAATCTTATATACTGCCCTATATCACGCATGATAATGAGGCATTCCTCCCTGCGAATGGATTTCTGGAATTAATCCAGAATGCCTCGAGAGTTTCGCGCGCTTGTGTTCTCGATTCCTACGCGATGATCGTAACCCTTACTTCAAAATCTTCTCCGTTATGTCTCTACGTCCTATGCGTGCTTAGTGGAATATTTGGCATACGTTTGCCGACTAGGTGTTCTTTTACATAGACGCAGAATGGTCTACCCGTTTCGCCATTGTATTCGTCTCCGCACGCCACACAGGGGATCAGATAAACTGTACCCGAGCTCATGCAATCACCGTCTCTACTATTAGGACAAATTATGCAATTTTGAGTTGCACATAGACGGTCGTATAGGCGGTTAAGAACTAGCTGGCGCCTTAGATTATTCGGTGGCATTTCAATTATCGTTACCGAATTTTCTAGACCGGCCCTCCTTAAACAACGTTTTATAGCTGCACTTACATCTTTTGAGATGAAGGGTAAGATAAACGGGACCTTTTCATCGTCAGAGTTGTCGTTTGGAGGCCTAGAGCTTCCGCTACACCTATCCCGAGCTATACTTTCGTAGCACTGAGAAATGGCTATTTACCGCGCCAAGTTCTGGACTCCTCTCTCTGCTCTCTTCCCGTGCACACGTTGCCTTTGCTTGCTGTTCGAAACATGTTTCTTACAAACACCCTTTTCGTGTGAGAGGGGCGAGAGGAGAGGTAATGAACCAAGATGTTTTTACTACTTGGCTTTCGGTACCACTTTGTAATGTAGTCATTTTCTGATAGGTGAATTTGGACGTTCAGGAATGGAAGCCATTTTTCTTTCGGATTTTCTCTGGTAAACTTGATGTCGTTTACATGAACTTCAGGATAGACTCCGCAAAAAAGCTAGAGATGAAGCGCTAAATAAGTGCGAACAACACTAAGTGGGGGCCCTACAAATAGCACCATTTCCTCCGACGTTCTTTAGACAACAAGAGCCCAATAATGAAGTTGATGTTAATTTTCGGATGTTTGCAAATGAAACTCTCAAAGTCCTTAATCACTATCGCGCGAAAAGATACAGCTCAAACCTCACTCCAGTGCAAAAACGTGGTATGCGAGAGGTACGAGAGCTGATAAGGTCGAAGACCATAAGACTTTCCGTTAGTGACAAGGGTGGAGAGTTTGTCGTAATTACTCATCAGTTAGATGTGGAGATAACGAAAAAGCATCTTGAAGATTTTTCACTTTATCACCCATCATCTGAGGAGGAATTGAAAAGTAAATACTGAAAATTAAACCACGAATGGGTCAAAATGGCAAGGTTGCTGGTTTAAAACCATCAGTTATCTCTCAACTTAAAGTTGACTTACCAACATGCCCCGTCTTGTACTTACTTATAAAAACTCATAAGTTAGTATCCAGTGATGATCTTGCGTCTAACGATCCATCACTATTTAAGGTTAGACCTATCATTAGCTGCGTAGACGGACCAACGGACAGGATAACATGGTTTTTAACCCTAATATTTAACCAGTTGTGGAAACACATTCCAGCCCATCTTACGAATACCCAGATGTTTCTGGATCGTCTACGTACTGCGCAGCCCAACAGCGCGTGCGTGATGGAGTCCTTCGATGTTTCCCCCCTTTATACAAACGTGTCGAATGAATCCGCAATGTAAGCCACATTCGAACTCCTTACACAACACGAAGGAGAAATAAACATGTATGGCTTCGAGATAGAGCACCTGATGGCGCTCTTAAAAGAATGCTTGAGCTGCTCAATCTTCAGATGGTCCAGAAAGTATAGGGCAGTATATAAGACTGTTATTCTGATGGGAGGGGCACATTATGCTTCCATGTGATTTCTGTGTGGTTGGACTTCACGCGACATACTTAGTGGAAACCTCATAGAAAGCGGTGAGTGTGGAAAGCTGTGTTCAATGTGATTGAAATCTTGGTTTAGAGTCTCTTTGTTTGGTTATGGAGGTATCTGGCCGAATAGATTTCTATCAACTTGACCTTTCCAGGCTCTGAGGAAGGCGAAATCCGCCGAAACGTCAGCTTATTCGTGAATAAAGAATATTAACACATCGCGTTTGCTCAACAGAAATACGAAGGAAGATTATTACATTTTTATTATAACCCTATCCTTTAATCCACATGGCAACGGCTTAGCCAGGCTATCTGCAAAATTGCAAAATGAGTCCAATTGATAAGCATTCTACGGCAGCAATAAAGAAGGCAAAATCTTCAACTAGAAGAGTACAAACATCAAAACATTCCACCTTTCTTGACATAGTGCTAAGTTTGCTTCGAGAAGATTAGTCGCAATGCTTAAAGGGCATCCTCTTTCGACGATGTCTATGTATGAGGTTCTAAAAAGCAAACATACAAAAAGAAAGCGAAAACAAACGTATATAATGTTTATTGAGTAATTTATACAAGGTACAATGTCTGTTGCTCTGTGCTGTGAGAATGCCTCGGTTCCTACGTTGATTTGTACGCTTTTCCTAAAGCACACGTGTTATTGAAATACCGTGGTATCACAAGTAAAGCTCGGAACCGAGACATGCAACACTGAAGTAATTTTAAGAGCTAAAATATACTTAAGAATGCAATTCTATTAGAAACTACAACTTTAATCTCGAAATTTCTCTCGTCATTTCATAGTAAAGACGTATACAACGAGAACACAGATAGTACAGCGTTGTATCAGCAGCTGTGATAACAATCATCTATAGATCAAATTGGCAATTATATAGAATTGTTATCCTACAACCGCATCAGATATCTTTTATAGAAGAGAAAGGGCAAAAAAATGGGATACCAGTAGCAAACATCTTAACAAACTACAAAGCACAAACAATTGCTTGAAATGCGACAATTCACATTTTACCTTGAACGCCCACCTATTAGAAACATCATACAGTCTTCAGCTAATTCAAGCATGCCCCGATGGAAGCACTTCGGTATGGACGGTTCCTTTCGGAACACAAGTTCTACACCCCTACTTCGAAGAAGATCAGCTAATTCAATCCCAACAGAGGACCCGGTTCGTACGACAACGAATTCCTCGCCTCCTAGGATTCTACATCATATCATGAATGTGTTCTGAAGCATTTTCGAAAATGTTTAATTCCTACAGAACACTGAAGCCCAGCTAAAACAATGCAGGAGGAAAAATACACCAGAATATTTGTATAAGTTTCAAAAAATACCCTCTTCTCAGATACAAATGGAATGCAGGTTTTATGTTACGATGAAATATCAACCAAAGTTCATTCATTTAAACATGCCATTACTTGATTATTCAAAAATTTAACAACACCATTTTCGTAAAATCAATTCGCTTTCGGACTTGTTGAACGCTTCAACAGATTGGATTTGCTCCAGTAGACTAACCAGTCCGTTATTCCCCCAAATGCAAATTGGTCTAAAACGTAGTAATGCATAGCATCACTCACCATCTAGTACAACACAAGAGGCAGCATCAATGGGCAGCGATGATACTCGTGCAAATTGAGGTTTCTTTTCCTGTGCTGACTCCTTCGCAACAGGGCTAGGGCTACCGTCCTTCCGCGTATCGTTACTGGATTGCTGGGCTGGTACCAGAGGTACCTGTATGCAAATTTGTTACATAAATTCATTGACATGACTAAATAACGGACCTTTACACCAGCTTTAAGCAAAGCTGTTTCCAACTCTTCCATACGCATTCGCAAATCAGTGACTGCCTAGGACATCTATCAATTATGAAAACGAGATATGGATATCAGCGATGGAGTACTCTCAGAATACATCCAGAATAAAAGTATTAGCGAAAACAATACCTACTTCCTCATTTCGCTGACGGAATTCTTCAAACTCAGATAATTTGACGTTGTCTGGAGTTGTAGTTTTAGTGTAGAAATAGTAGCCCAAAAATACTCCAAGAGAATACGTGAAGAGGACAATTTGCTGCACAAAGTCGGATGCCTACAAATTTTAATATATTATCTAGCAATCTTCTCCTGGATAAAAAATATATAGCTTCTCCCACTGAGATAAATAGAACATAGTACACAGCAAGAATATAAATAATAAAGCTAGCTGAGAAACGGGAAAAACGAAGGACCCACATGATGTGCTTGTGAACGCATTAGCCCCCAGAAAACGTTATAGTGTGTTCGATCCCCAGGACAAAAACCTGCGGTCCGGAGTTTTGCAAATATCTCGGCATGATTGTGGTTAGAACATAGTATATTCGATTAGCAGCTATGCTAGGTCTAAGTAGAATGTAGTATATTTGGTTACAAGTTATACTTGGTCTAACCTGTTCAAGAGCTGCAGCCTCCGACACAGTCGCAACTTGGCTGGGTTCACCTAGACCGAGTCGCTTCATCCGCAGACGTGCGGACATTCGAACGAGACCTAATTCGAACTTACTCTAAGAGAAAAAGCTGATGAAGAAATAAATGTGCTATGCAAACTTAACATTAAAAAGTGTCAAAACCCTACAAACGAAATCTTGGAAGCTAATTTTTAAACAGACACTAAGCAGTACTTAGTTTTTCATTTCTATAGCTACTGCTCACTCACAGCTACTGTTTACATAACCCACGCACCTTTGCCAATAGGTATCAGAATTTTATTACGAAAGATGGGATGGTCCTTGCCATATCGAATAACCGCATCAGCTATTGGTTTTGAAATCTAAAAGATCGCAAATGTGGGCTAAATACAACTTGTCTTTCTCTCTATAATGACGAACAACATAAAGGATAAAGGATAACGGTACCGGTATCGATCAATCTCTGAGGGATGCACCGTGCACTCGACTTCATTAAGCACCGTTGGAGGTGATTTAATGCACATTTGGACTTTAAAATAACTTACTGTAGCCTAGCGATGTATAGAGCCACTTGTACTACTCTCCCATACAAATTTGGTAACAATTTGCCGGCCTCAGACGGATGGAGGGCTTGTTCAGTCACCGGCGCGTGGACTGATCACACGTTTGTAGTGCAAGGCCCATTCGACCACTGCGTCACATGCACCCTCTAACGAACTACATACCAAACGTAACTAACCTGCCTCGCGGCTATCACAAACACTTGTATCATCGGAAAACCCATGGATAGTCATCCGTGGTACTGGTACCGACCCTATGGAAAAACATGAAAACCTCTGCATAAATGTTCACCTTCAGAAGCATAGTCTAGAAGTAACTAACAAGATAATCAGACTTTCACAGGACATCAGAACCACCGCGGAGTTTCCCACGTCAGTGAATTATTTATGCAAACTTTGTGTAGCAATAACAAGCAGGATAATCAGATTTTCGGAGCGTACTAGATCCACAGTTCTCAGAACTACGAAAAAATATACCGAAACTCCTCATTTTCGTGAAATCATTGTAGTTTTATAAAACACAAATAGTAGCAACCATTCATGTTTTACTAATAGTCTAGTCTGATCCATGAGGGCGACAACTGCCCGTGATGGTGACCAACTCAAGCAAAGCCCTTTTTTTGGGCAAGGGTGACCTCAGGTGTCCAGGGAAACAATGGCTAAACCAACAAAACTCCAAAAACTGAAGATTACGCTGGGGTTCCTACAACCACTGTGGACGGGCCATCCAAATACCCATGTAACAGTCTAGTCAAAGTTTACACCTGTATCGAATAGTTGATCACGTAAAACTTTGAGACCGTACACGAATCTCAAACCCAACTTTTAGGAAATCAACAAAAAAATACCATAACAAGCAAAAAAAACGGCCAAACAACGAAACAACATCGACAATAATGGAGGTTAAGATGGATGTCGAAAAAAAAATCAGCAACACTTTAACAATGGTTAAGGGTAGCTGCCACCTGAGCATGAAGACATCTGCATTTCTCTTCCATTACCTAAAGGAAAAAATCACTAAAACACAAAGAAAACCTTTTCAATACTCTTATACAGTGCTACTACTAATTTTAATATCAAACAGTTCCAATAACTTGTTTTAAAGTTCCCACAGTCATCCCATCTGAAACAAGAGTTCATGAAGATTTCACCAACCTTACAAGCTTCCACCACCAATTCGGCAGATTTGAGAGCACCTGTAGATTCAACGCTGACTGAAACATCTTTTCACCACTCGATAAAAAAATAGCGCCAGAAGATATGAAAAACACCTACAAATAAAATGATCCTTCTTTTTGCCCAGTTCTACGACAGAGGCTAAGTCACTGTGTCTGAATACATTTCGGCTACATGTATCACGACGTGCATCTGCGACAACGGCTATTTTTTCACCTAAGACTTAACACAGATACATAAACCAATGCAAACAGATACTGAGGGCAAAAAAGAAAAAAAACTGCAACCACAACGACGCTGAGAAATTTGCAAAACTTGGACCCCAGGGAAGACCGGACCGCGGTTCCCTTTCCGGGGCTTCGCGTATTACACAATGCACCGATGGGGCACTTGGCATGCGCGTCTATCAGCTAGTTTTTATACATAACGCTGTCATTTGCAATCATACGTCAGCGGGATAGATTTAGGTAGCACAAATCAACACTGAACCCAGTTAAAGAAAAACGAACCATAAAGAACCTAAAGACTTAGAATCTATAAATTGGACTCCTAAAACTGTATCACCGATAGATCGAGAAATTTATTTCAAAGAGCGATCAACTATACGGACCACCCTTTTCCTTCAATTCGATGACTCCTTCGCTAAACGAATCCTGCAAACGAACAGCCGCTTCTCCACGAACTTCGCTAAGAAGACGAATAGTAGGCAGTAACCTAAGATACAGAATAAATTGAAACTGGCTAATGTCTCAACAGTTTCCATTCTTCTAAGACCAAGTATGGACCTTCTTCCCATTATTGAAATGTTCGAAATGTTATGTCAAAAATGTGAACGCTAAAATGTAAGAAAGCAAATTCTAACTTTCATAAATTTTCAGTAAATGAGACGTTTACTACATTTTAGTCCTTATCTTTTAACTATGATCTAATCTTACTTTCTAATTAGTTTCCTAAACAACTGTACGCTACTTCTAAACAGCGGGAGGAGTGGAGTAGTTAGCAATGAAATCCAGCAGGAGAGAAGTAGTGTATTGGCCCGACCCTTTCCCAACGCTCTCATACAATCCACGTTAGAACGCTTTAGGTCGGATATCGTCAGGACTGCAATGAGAATCGACTCGACCAGCACTCTACGTAATGCATAAGGACCAAATCTTCGCGCACCATCCGAAATAATACGCGAAATGTTACAAACTTTTGTGGACGATGGAAATCGACTCTGATGCAAAAAGAGCAGGACTGGCACTGCAGAAGTGACGACGCTTATTTTTTTTACTTTTATATGACCCGTTCTCGCGTCTACTATGCAGATCCCAGCACTTCTCACACTCGATTCGTTTCCTCGCATCCATAATACACGAAAGTATTCCAACTTTTACGTGTGGCTTCGGTTGTAATATCAAGCAGCATGACGAAAACGATCATCATGCTGCCTGATATTACACATATCACATTGGATGCTTTACATATATAGGTATACAAAAAGGTTATAAAGCGGTGCAACAGAAATAGGTAAATGAACAGGGAAGCGAAAGACATCGTTCCTCACTAATCTCATTTTCGATATTCACTGTGATGTGTCGCTACTATCTATCACTGCATTTCCTATTCCAGGTTTTTTTTTTCAGCTAGGTTAAGAGAAAGTCGATCCTGGGAACTTTTTTTTCAGCATTAATATTTATTTTATTTGCTACGACCGACTTTCTATTAACCTCGGCATTGATCAAGTAATTTTCTTCGTATTCTTGTTGAGCAAACGCGAGGTGTTACTATTCTTTGTTCACGATTAAGCTGACGTTTCGGCGGATTTCGCCTTCCTCAGAGCCGCTTCCTATGAGGTTTCCACTAAGTATGTCACGTAGAGACCAACCGCACAGAAATCACATGGAAGTATAATGTGGTACTTATGACACTTAATTATATTACATTACTTATACTTATAATTGTGACATTACACTTCCATGTGATTTATGTGCGATTGGTCTCTACGTGACATACTTAGTGGAAACCTCATAGGAAGCGGCTCTGACGAAGGCGAAAGCCGCCGAAACGTCAGCTTAATCGTGAACAAAGAATAATAACACCTCGCGTTTGCTCAACAAAAATACGAAGAAAATTTATTCCATTTGATCCGTATCCACGTCTACTGCGCGGATCCCAACACTTCTCACATGCAATTCCTTTCCTCGCATAAATCGTCCGCGAAGGTCTTCTTACTTTGCGTGTGGCTTCGGTTGCCCCTTGAAGATTTTCATTTCATCTTGATTTTCGCAGAACGCTGGTCGAATAATTTTTCCTGGAGTCCTGAGCGGGACTGGAGCGTTCTCAAACTGCAGAGAGCGATTTCTCCCAGACAAGTCCGGTACCAATTTTCCCACCTCGGAAGAATGAGAGGCTTGGTTGGCTAGAAGGGGAATCGAACTTCAGCATTCTCGTGATGACTGACATCACTACCACTGCGCCATCCGCCCCATTTAGAAGAGCTGTGTGATAAATAAATAAATAACATGCGCTTCTAAGCCCGAATCGAACAAACCTGTAAGATGCAGTGGCCACAGGACTAAACTTTGCATGATCGCGACCAATACCTTTTACAGCATGACAGTTTGCCTCAATTTGTTGCCCTGGCCGAAGTTTTGCTACCAATATTTCGTCGCATACCATGCGAGGGGGATCGTCCGCAAACTGTTCCTCCTAAAGCTCAGAAAACCAATAAATGAGTAAAATGCAGACCACATTACAATTACAAGAATGCACCTGATTTCCACAAGGAACCCATTTAAACGCATTTGAATAGACGGAAGAATGATGATAAAGTTGATGAGGTTCAGTTGCTGTAGATGGGGCGTTGCGATTTTTTGTGCAAGTCACCTGAAAATATTTCAGTTACTCACGATATTTCTAAATAAAAAAGCACATTGAAAAAATTTAATCCACAGAACTAACCTTTTATTTGAAGCCTACTACAATTATAGTAGGCAGGAAATAAAACGTTAGCATTGCGATTTCGACTACAGCCTCAGCTTAATTGGGTTCAAAGCCGATTTGTGCTCCTCAGATCAATACTGGTGACGGTTGATTGCTGATAGCAGCGTTAAGCAGAAAACTAGCTTAGAGAAACTCAAAACAAGGGTCTCAGTGGTACAGTTTGTAATACGCGAGCCCTTGAAGAAGGTAATCGTGGGTCGATTTGGCCCGGGGTCCACGTTTTGCGAATATCTCAGCATCGTTGTAATTCTAATCCACAGAATGCGCTAGAAGCTAGAATGTTTTGATGAAGATGGAATAAGGATTAGTGTTCTTAGCAAAGTACCACTACTATTTTTCAATGCCTTATTCTCGGATCTGAACCTTCGGAAAGTATCACCTTAACTACTGCGATAATGGCGTAAGAGAACTAACGTTGATATTGAACACAACTGTTCGACTAGGATCTGGTTGTGGTTCCTCTTCGCAGTCAACCCCATTTTCGTTCACGGCTATCACCTATAAAGTCCAAACAAGTCTTAAAAACAACAATAATCTCCAGTCTAGGCAGAGGCACCATAACACCATAATAAAAAAGGATAAAAATGAAGGATAAAGCTTCCAGCGTTGATCAACCCCTAAGGATGCGCCATGCACTCGACCTCATTAAGCATTGTTTGGATGTGTCTGGATGCATTTTTGCCTTTACAATGATTCGTAGTGGCCTACAATTGTATCAAGCCAGTGCTGCTATCCTCCCAGACAAGTCTGGTACCAATTTGCCGATCTCGGAAAGGTGGAAGGCCGGGTGGATCAATGGAGCGAGAATCGATCCTGTGCGTATTGCAGTGCGCCACCGACCACTGCGCCACGCGCGCCTACACACCATAATGATTTTAGAGCAAATTTTTAAAATTGCTGTACAACAAAAACCCATTCTAAATGCCTAGAAATGAGTGCAAATAGAAAAAAGTTCGAAAACAATAAAAATGTATGTAACCAAAGTTCGCAAAAGCATCAAAATTAGTGATGGTTGGAAACCTTTTCAGTAGGCATCAAAAATTTCCTAGCGTCAATCTTGAGCGGCAGGAGACCGAACCGATGACAAAGAACTTCATCCTACAATAGATGATTCTCAAGAAATTATAATCTCTGTATGGATTTCACATAACATCCTGCCATGAAAAAAGAATGGCAATAAAAGTTAAAATACTGTCATTTCGAGTGCACCACCAGCTTAACTGGGTTCAATGTCAACCTGTGGTTCCCAGATCATTTCTGTCGTCAGCTGATTGCTGATGGCACCTATAGGTTAAGAAACTGACTGAGAATAATGCAAAGCAAAGGCCTCGATAGTGCAGTGAATAGTTCGCGGGTCCGAAGTGCAACTTAGATTCCTAGTTATGCTCATTTCTCAGCATGCAGTGGTTGTATTTCACATTATACCCTGCCACAAAAAAAAGAGTAAACAGTAGATGAAAGTCAAAATAGATCCTCTATATTTTCACAATAAGCCAATTTCTGAAATCGGCTTATTGTGAAAACATAGAGGCTTACATAACCATAACGATACTGAGATATTATCAAAACTTGGACACAGAAACAGTTCGAACCACGCCACGACTACACTTTCCCGGGGCTCACGTATTATACACTGCACCACTGAGGCCCTTGCTTTGCATTTTACTTAAGTAATTTTCTATCTAACACTACCATCAGCAATCACCCGTCGGAGAGATTGATCTAGGGATCACAAATCGGCAGTGAACGCAGTTAGGATGAGGCTATAGCCGACATTACAATGTTAATCTTTTATTTGCTGTCTACCAAAATTTTTCACGGCATCGTATGATGTCATAACATATCCTACTGTGCAAAATTATAGCAAGTAGCGAATAAAAGGTTAACATTGGCTAAATTAAAACTCTCACGTATTCTTACCTGAATGACGCTAGTATTCTGGTACAGATATACTTTTTCAATTGCCATTGTAGGAACCTCAAATATGGATGAATTCGAGCGTTTCTCAACTCCGACCAAGTATTTTCTCAAAAATGTTACATACTTCAGCCAGCAACACTCTCCTCAGGGCATTGGCTATTGGTGCCTCAACCTTAATGAGATCGAAATCGAGCGACATACCATTCTCCAAGTCATTGATAACTACAACCTGAATCAAACAGTAAAAATATCTGCAGTGATATATACGGTAGCAGGAAAAACCAAAAACGTAATCGAAACCTCAATACGTTTGCAATACTTCTTTAAATCGAATTCTAAAGCTTCTGGTGTTATGTAGTCCAAGTCACCATCATATGTCTGAAACAACCACATCACAGCGCATACGATAAGATTTGTTCAAACCTGAACACCCACATTAAGAACCCTCTCCTGTTCCATTCTGATCTCGTTTTCGTAGTGAGCGCCAGCATCACTGGACTCACTCCTATTTCTTGAAGAACGTCTCAAAACCATCTGAAAACCACTTGTGGGTGGCTAGCAAAATTTGTTACACAGTCCACATCATTGTCCATTAGATTACTAGACGAACAAAAAAAAACGAAACGAATAACAAAAATATGTCATGAAAAATACAATAAATCCGAAGAATCAGGATGTGTGAACAAGTTTTTTATCGCCAATAAGTGATAAGAATTGGGGTCACGACATAAATAAAGCTATAAATGCCAAAATAACAGCTTGAACCTATCTAATCCCTCTGAAATTCAACAAATTCAACAGTAAATGTCCCACAATCATAAAAACACCTGGATAAAAAGCTTGAGAGGGTTGGAAAGCACAGAATTTCACCAGTAGTCTCGAGAAAACTATCACAGATGAAATCGCTCGACTAGCCAGGTATGCGGAAGCAGAAAGTAGCAAACAAGAACCCCATAAGTCCTACAAAACAACAGTAGTATTACCTCAAGCGGAATGAAATACTAGACGGGGCACATTTGATGTATATCGCGAACAACTGCAAAAACAACATCACAGTGAAAAGAGCCGAACAAGTTCCGGCATAAGAAACGCTATATGGAAAGAAATAATATCACATCAGCAAGAGCTTAACCTCGTAAAAGGAAGAGATGGTGACCACGATACTACTCCTGAAGCCTATCAGTCCAAATTCCAACTCGATAGCGGAACCAGATGAGTATCAGATCTCGCCCCATCTGCAGCCACGACCAAAACGGAACCAATTTCGATCCCTCAACTTCGTGCCATGTCACACAGACCTAAATATCTAGCCTTGTAAAAGAAACGGCTACTACTACCGCTAGAGGTATAGGGAGAACAATTAGCTAAAAGAAAGTACCACAAATAGATGTGACAAAGATCATATGCAGAGGACATATTATGGCTGGAGTACTGAGAATGAGAAACGTTCCTTTCGGATTTCAAGCGACAGAGAAATTTGCTACGAAATAAAAACCACATCGTTTTCTTTGTAAGAGCTGACGACTTTGACAATTATCATTTCGCTCAGCAGTTTTGGTAGTCAAAACTTTGACCTTGATCACTACTTTTCGTTGTTCCCTTAATTCAGCTTCTTCAAAGTTAGTGCTTGAACATAAGAACTTCAACAAAGCAAATCGTAGTTTCACCCAATAAAACACGCCTTTAAATTTCTGAACTATATCAACATGAATTAACAAGGATTTCAGATGTTACTCTGCTTAAGAAAAATGGTGAAGTCAATTCTCATTAATTGCACAAAAGAGCAGAAAGCAAAGTTGGATACTTACTTTAATACTTGGATAGCCCGTCACCACTGGTTGCGTGGGTTCCAGCATAATTTACGTCTTTCCTGAGTTTTGCTGATTTAGATAATATGGGTCCATAGAGTCCCGAGGTCAGCCTAGCCAAAGCCTGCCCAGTTCGTCACCACAAGAAACAGTCGCCGCCCTTGTGGATCAAAGGGAGATTTGTTATCATGCGACTAATTTGATACCAGGACGGTGATCGATCCTGGTATTGGTTTACTCTTAGCTGAGCTTCATGGCGCAAACCCCGGGCTTCCTCTTAGCTTGGTAGACCCTACGGTGGTGGGCGATGAATCCCCGCTGTACATCGCAGCCCGATATCCATGAACACCTTCCAGCCACGATGAGGAGGTAAAGCACTAGGAGGAAAGCAAATTAACTACCTCCAAAACTGGTATTCTCCAAAGCTCACAAAGATAAATCAGTTCCACATCAAATGCCCATCGCTCCACATGCAAAACGGGAAAGAGCTACAAAACGATCAGCTAATGTCATGAACAATTTGTGGAATTAAAATGAAGCAAACTGAAAAGAATGGTGCCAAATGAACCTGAGCCGCGGAAGCCCTAGTGAACAATTTGAATCCACACTGCGTATCTCGAACAGTTCGAGATGAAAACAGCCACACGAGAATGTGGAAGGCATGCATTAGGAAAGTACGAAAAAGAGATCGAGTAGCGATCGACTCTGCTTCCATATGAGCCCTGAAAATAGCAAATTGTAAAGTGAATCACCCCATAAGAGGCAATTTAACGACTAAACAATTTGAAGATCCATAAAGAAAACAACATTGTGAAAACTTTTCAACACAAACCGCGATCCCACGGCTACTGCGGGAAAGCTTTCGTCCATAGGTGGTCCTCCACTAATTCTCAACAAGCCTTTCTCGAGCTTTTCAACGTCCGAAAATTTTGTTGCGCCATCAGCATCGGCAAAGAGAATCAGTTTTCCACTACTGTGCATAACACCTTGCCTAATCGCACCACCTAAAGCAAATCTTGACTTAAACGGGCTACACTATACAAATTTACTACAGCACTAAAAAAGGACAAAGCTCTCAGTGTTGATCAAACCCTGAGGGATGCGCCATGCACTCGACTTCTGGTCTTTAGAGCTATCCCCAGACAAGTCTGGTACCAATTAAAATTCCGGAGGGACGGAAGGCTTGGCGAGCCTTCGGAGAGGGGATCGATCCCATGTGCATTGCGAGGTGCCTTCGACCACTGCACTGTACGCGCCCGTCTACAACACCAAAAGCTACGAAGTTACAGTAGTGCTAGAGAACTGTCAAATAACGTTCAGTTTCACCTTTACCGCGGTTTTCTTCCAATTTCAACACTTTCAATTTACCACCAAGTTTTCGGTTGTACTCAAGAGCAACATCAGCCGTACTGTCTGTACTTCCATCATCGACGACTAAAACCTAAACTAATAGCTGGAGACTGAAAAGTAACCCACAAAAATTGTCGGAATACCCAACCTCACTAGGCCAATCAAGACAGATGAATAGGAAGAGGTAAAAGAAAAAAATGAAGAAGAACGAACTTCGAAGCTAAAACTTCTTTCCTGTTTCTCCCTTTCCTGTAAATATTCAAAACATTCGTCGAGCATCTTTGGAAGGCGATCCTGTAGCACCGAAGATGAAAAGCAATGGGAAACCAAAGGAAACACATAAAGAACACAACGAAATTTAAAAAATAACTAAACTGTTTCTTACTTGCTCGTTCATTGCAGGTATGACAACAGACAAATAAACGGTGGAATCAGTGAATGGTGGGGTCTCCGGACACGCACGAAGTAGGTTAGGTAGCCTGGAGCGGCTTACAAATGATTTTACATTGTATATGTATATATATATCCATATAAATATACTGTATATATAATGTATGTTACATATATATATATATACATATATATATATATATATATAGATGTATATGCATGTACATACACGTATATTAAAATTTCATAAGACCATACCTTAACTTCAGCTTTATAGGACTTAAAAACTTTATAAGACTTTATAAGAATTACAGAACAAAAATGGCTACATGACACTTCTTCAGGGATATCATATACACGTATATACATATACATGTATATATATATATATAATAAATAATAGACTCATGGGAATCAATATGTGTTCGAATGTGAAGGTTGAAGAAGGATAAAAAACGCTGAGAAATGAAAACCATTGAAGTCCTTCGAAACTCCAATAAAACTAAGACAATTTAGAGCGAATGTTTTCAATATTTCTTCATTAAAAACCATCATTTTTCTCCTCTTTTTTCCTCATCCTTTCCTTCCATCCTTTCTTGAGAGCATAAACTTGGCAATAAGGAAAACATTCGAGGACGACAATTCCACGTTCAGGTTGGACGAAGAAGTTGTAAGAATGTTCCAAATGAAAGTGATAAGAGAATTCTCAAAAGGACGTTAGGAAAAGGATAACTTACGCCTCCCCACTTCCCTCCCCGTCATATGAATTCACTGGAACAAGAAAATCTCTTCGTCTTCGTTTTGGCCATGGAAAAAGCGATAATAATCTAAAACCTATCTTTTATTTGAAGAAAACTGCTTTTATCGAATAAAAGACATCACCTACAAGAAGGCAGCGCTAAACGCGAACAGTGCCAAAGTGAACCCGCATATGAGGACATTATGAAAAGTCAGTAAGTCAAGCACCGACGACAGCAGCATGTCTGAAACCGCAACTAAATCCACGAAAGACATCAATTTCGCTGTTCTTCAACTGTTTTCTGGATTACAGATACAAGTATAAACGGCTCTGAATGAAGCTGGACCGAGGCTTCGAGCTCGACCTTTGGTGTTCGGGAGCGACGTGTCAGCGATTGTGAGCAGCCACTGGGCCACACAGTGTGCCCAACCTGACGTCAGCGTGGGAATTCGCACCTGGGCGTTGCAGATATCGCGCCAGCACTGGCGGGTCAGAGCGGGCTCGTTTCAAAAATTGTGGGAAAGAGGACGGTGAACAGATTGGTGGTCCCATCATTTAAACGGGCGTAGCGCTCAAAGGATATGTCAATGTATAGATATATAGCAGATACATACCTGTATATAGATGCGGGGGGGGCTACAACGTAGTCACTGGTGATACAGTCGATCAGCAAGCAAAGTGCCGGTTCGATCTCGTCGCCAAAGCATTCACCCAAATCCTCAAGTAGCAGCCACTACAAGACGGGAAATGTTCGAGGACCTTTGTGGACGATGATAACGGCGGAAACGAAGCGAAGGAAGAAGGTCTCCGCGCAGCGTGATGATGGATCATGTGAAAAAGACACATAGATAGCTTAATTACTAATTAAACAACTTTACATATGAATGCAGGTGAAATGTTAAGGATAAAGTTTTCGGCGTTTATCAATTCCTAAGGAGCGCACCATCCATTCGACTTCATTAAGCATCGTTTGGGGGTGATTGAAGGCATATCTGGAATTTACAGTGACTCGCGGTGGTCTACCGATGCATCGAGCCTGTTCTGCTACCCTCCCAGACAAGTCTGGTACCAATTTGCCGACCCCAGAGAAATGGAAGGCTTGGTGGGCCATGTGCTCGGGGATCGATTCCACGCGTGTGTGGCAGGACGGCTCCTAGCACTGCGTCACACGCTCCCGTGTGTAAAATATATAGATACTTACTTGATAGTTGATACTTGAACGGCCCGTCATCACTAGCTGTGCGGGCTCCAGCATAATCACCACTTTTCGAAGATTTGCTGGTTAAGCCATTGTGGTTCCCTGGAATCCCTAGGACAGGCTGGCCAAAGTCTGCCCCAGGTCGTCACCACGACAGGCGGTCGCAGCCGTTGTGGATCAGAAGGAGATTTACGACCATACGACCTTGATACCAAGACGGTGGTGGATCCTGGTACTGGTTTACTCTTAGCTAGGCTTTCTGGTGGAAACCCTGGACTCCTTCTCAGTTTGGGAGACCCTGCCTGTGGGACGAATCCCCCCGCTAGACATCGCAGTCCGACACTCGGGAACACTTCCCAGCCACGAATATAGAAGATGAAGTAATTCTTGTTACGCTTCAAAATTAGTTCATTATTTTCCTTAATAGTATTTGATGGCGTCATGGCGGTGTTCCAACATATCAAATGGTGATGGCTACCAACATACTAGCCCAAAACATGGTCCCCTATGTATGGAAGGGTATCGTGTTTTCGTTCGAATCCCGTTTTAAAAAAAAGATTGTGTTAGAAATCCGGTCAAAATGACTTTGTCTAAGCCGGCGAGTCCAAATCAGTGCTAATACGTCACTCGAATATTTGAAGAAAGGGGTGCAAATGAAGAACTTCTTTTTCACATGACCCATCTTCACATCTACTGCGCGATCTCAGTACTTCCTGCATTCTATTCGTTTTCTCATATCCACCATTCACGAAGATCTTTGGGCTCCTCGTATACGGGTTCTGCTGCTGCGTTAAGATTGTCTTCCTTTTACGAATCTTCTTCAATGCTGATCGAGCCGATTCTCCTTCGAGTCCTGCGATAGCTGTTCTAGAGCGTTTCTGAGCGGAACTGAACAGCACTGTGTTCATTATGAACGGCACTACTGCCACTGCGCCACCTGCCTTCGTAAACGAAGAGTAGAAAAACGATAAAGCTCTTGGCATTGATCAATCCCTGATGGATACGCCATGCCTTCAACTTCATTACACATCGTTGGAGGTGATTGAATACATATATAGCTTTTACAGTAACTCGTGGTGGCCTACCGATTTATCGAGCCAGTGCTGCTATCCTCCCAGATAGGTCTAGTATCAATCTGCCGATACTGGAGGGATCGAAGGTGGGCAGAGATATGGGATCGAGCCGTTGTACGTTGCAGGGTGCCTCCAACCAATGCACTACATGAGCCCGCATTCGCGATGGGAGGTTTTGATTTCAACGCACAATTGGGAGGGCACTGTGTCCGCCGCATATTCAATTTGATGGATTACCATCTCGGTGATTTCTTTTACTCATTGGACTTTTCTACACTTCTTGAGTTCAATAGTTAGTATTACATAGTCGAATATAAGTGTTGTAGAGCGCGGATAGCGTAATGGTAGTGATGCCGGTCGTCCGAACACAGTGCTGGTTCAATTCCGCCTCAGGCTCACTAAGCTTCTTATCTCTTCGGGATCGGAAAGTTGGTAATGAAATTTCTAGAAAACTTCGCTCTGGGATCGACTCGACCAGCATTCTAATTATTGAGTAAAACACCACAGAGTTGGAAAAGAGGCTTTGCTTCATCGATCTAGAGCTAAAGGCTATTCTTTGCTACATCTTACTGTAGTTCCCAATCCGTAGACATTGCTATCGGCATTGAGAAGGTCTTCACACCTCATGGTGGGTGTGGTGTGAAGAAGCAATAAACTTCTGGTCGAAAAGTGAATTTTGTCTAATCTATATAAAGGGAGGTGTCGGTTTTCTAACAACTTGCAATAGTTTTTGGTAACTATAGCAGTTTTGGAATGTGGAACTTGGCACGGTTGTAGGGAAAATTTTGCTCTATCACTGTGAAGAAAGGCAACAGCATTTTTGTGTTCTTTACTTTAAAACTATTTAAAATTAAAACTCCCACGAGGAAATCCTTTCTTATCGTTGTCGTATAAGAAGACTTTTACTTTCTTAGCGAAGAGCTCTAAATTTCTAAGGATCTTCCTTTCTCTGAACAAACCCCGTCGATCTGCTTTTTTTATTCTTCCTTCTAGCCAGCCTCTGCCTTGATTTCATCTGCTTTACTCCTTATGGCGAATCTCCTTGTTTGCAGTTTTGGAGTAATTTTGTTGGACAAGAACTACTGAATTTTATGGCCTTGAGCCCTGCTAGCTAACAACAACTTCAACGTTGGCCTTGGGCAGCTTCTGATGAAGAGTGACAATGAAGTTAGAGAGATGGGTAGTGATAGAACGTCCTATAACTTCCGTCGAAGACTCCAAGACTCTGAAGAAAGTAAATAGAGGGAGGAGGATGAAAGTGTTAATCATGAATTCAACGGCTAGGTCTAACAGTGTAACGCCTTACAATCACTGATCTTCCATGAAAGTCAGTCTGGTGTGGAGTGACAACTTTTGCTTGGTGCGTGAAGCTGGCAGGTTATTTTCATGTTTTGATAATTTTTGTATTTTTCATATTTATATGAGTTACTAATGACCTACACTTTGGATCTGATTTGAACGAGAAGAATGGATAGGCTAATAGAGTTCATCAAAAGGAATTTAAGCAAAATATCCAAGGTTAGAAGGTAGGCATGTATTGACGGATTTATCTTGCCGTATAGAGGTGGGGCGGCTTCCGCCGGTATATTCCGCAATAGGGACACGAATATGGAATCAGGTTATTAAAATTGCACCGGAGAGGTTTTGGTCTATACTGTAGAGATTCCTGTGTAACTGGGGATGTGATACACTATGTGGTGATGAAGTTCGCCTACAATTTGTTATATAAAGAAGAGCATTTCTATACTGATAGTGAATACATAAGCTTTCCCTTGGTTGAGGAGCTACTACAGACAAGGATACCTCCTACCAGAAGCAATAGAAAGGTGTGAATTTAGCCGTAAATCGTCTACTGGAAGCTGAGCAGAGAACAGCGTATAGCCCAATAGAAGCA